TTTCTTTATTTTTAGGGTTTATCGGGGGAATTGATGCAGATACAATTCCTTCTTCCACTGCGACCTAAACAAATTTATTGTCGAACCCTTATAGCTTATAGCCATACTTTGGAATGTGCGCTATTCCTTACAAAAATGAGAATTTTACTTGATGTCTGCTGGTGGATGTTCTTGGATGTGAGAAATTGACCAAAGTGGCTGTTCAGGCGAACGCTTTCCATTCACAAAAGATATGTGCCGATTTGTTAGGTTCCTCTTGGCAGAGCCAGCATGTTTCCGTCTCAGCTTTGCCCATATTAAGGTGATAATTAAGAGGGCACTGGCCGGTATAAAGCCTTTAATTTTTCTCAAATCCTGCCTGCTGAAAGATAAGAGTAATTTTGCTTTCCGTTTTTAGATTTAAAATATCTCTTAGCTTACCTCATACTTGAAGATTTGCCCAGTGTTTGAGTTTTTCTTTCTTAAACTATTTTTCCAGTTTCAACTTAAGCACATACTCTGGAGTACTTAGTTCTGGTTCTGGCCCCATGGGTGAGAGGGTTGCCCTTTTTTATGCCCAGTTAATCGGCCTGTTCATTGTCTTCTATACTTTCATGCCCCGGAATCCAGTTTAAAGTAATCTTGTGTTTTCCTAGAGCCATTAGGCACTTCCAGTCAAGTTTTGTGTTGAAAGCATGTGCATTTAGTGCCTTTATGGTTACCTGGCTGTCTAAGAGTAGGTATATCTATGCTCCTTCCCTATTTTTCTGTGTTAACTCAGCAAATTGTTGTACTGCATGGGCCTCTGCTTGGAAAATCGTCGGAGTTAGTCCAAGGAGCTTCGCCAGGGTAAACAGTCTTGAATTAATGGATATTATTACCATCCAGATTAGATATTAGTACATAATTCTGAACTTGACATGTTTGCAATTTCAAAGTAATGCTATAAAATATACACAATTCTAGAAAAGCTTTGTGATTTTAGTTTGTTGGCAATTTATTTAGATTGACCAATTGAATGGCAGTGAAAACCTGATAATTAATAATTCCCATATATTCTTTGCGTGTTTATGGATTTGTCTTTAAAATACTTTTAAAATTTTTTAATAAATAACCTGCCCCAGATAGCAATGTATTAGCAGAAATATCGGGAAAACAACCAGAATTTATTCGCATTGGGGACAAATATGGCTTACTGAGGAAAATAATGAACTTGATGGAATAAAAAAAAGGCTCAATCGCCCTGCGGGCGAAGTCGTGCTCGAATGAACTTAAAAAAACTAATTTTTACAGATATTACTGTACATATGTTTTACAAATATTACTATCACTCTCGATCGCATCACTTTACATATTGAGCACTGTAAACGTTGCATATAATTTTTTTTGAATCGTAATAATAATTTACAATTAATTAAGGTTTTTTGGTTGAGATAAAAAGTCAATGGCACGAGCGGGATTTATTTGTCGTCGAGAATCCAATCCGATTACACCACATTTGAAAAATGGCAAAAAGGAGGGAAAATTCAAAAGCTGGGGTTGAGATGGGAAGTTAGTGTCTGAGTGGATCGAGGTCACCTTAGCTCAAGTGGTAGAGCAGCGGCGTATCTAGCCGAAGATCATGGGTTCGAATCCCGCTCGTGCCATTGACTTTTTTATCTCAACCAAAAAACCTTAATTAATTGTAATATATTAATTGGTCAAGCGGACCACGAAATTAGTGAACGTAATAATAATAGTAAAACTAGCTGATGCCCTGGATAGTTTACTAAACAATTCTTCTACAATAGACCAGTTGTAAAAAACGGTGGAAAACCAAGGGCTGATGCAAGAAAAGTGGAATGCCGACAAAATGTTGGGGGTGCGGAAGATAGCTTGCGCAGGCACACGATTATTTTACTGTGTATACCGGAATAAGAAAGAAAAGATAAATCTTGGAAATAAAATTGAGGAGCCAATAATCAAGGCTGTACGCATAAACCTAGATATGAGCTACACGTGGAAAGGCGCAGTGACTCTAGTTGATGTATACTGTGAAAAAGGCTCTTTAGCAATATGAAGAAATCTACAATGCCAAGAAGTAACGACTTTAGAACATAAACTTTGTGACGGTAAAGCACTAGAATAATGTCTAAAAAATTAGCACAGTGGCTTTAAACTACTGACGAATCCAGAATCAAAAACGTATACAATCGCTGTGTAATCAATAAGCCTGTAGTCAACTGCTTAGCCAATAAAATGTCGATTTTTTCGAATTTTATGTCGTATGGTTTACCAAAATTAAAATAAATAAATTAACAAAAATACAGTCCTAATGTACACATTGAATGAAATAATGAGAGTTCATGTGTTTGATGTTAACATGTCAAAAAATATCAAAGGGTGTAGCGTTAAAATTTGAAATTTCGGACCTCTGTCTCTCACCCTCGAAATGTTATCTAAAATGTTCAAATATTTACAATTGTCGTTCCGCTTACTCCGGCCGGGCCAGGTTGATTTATTTGTTTTATAAATAAATAGGTAATAGGTCACATCTTCTTGGTATGTAAAGAGATGCTTTATTCTTAAGACACAATCAAACAAAATAAGGAGTAGCATTCTTTCTCTTTATTTGAAAAGAGGAAATAATAAGATTTTAATGAAGCAATGTTTCGAGTGGTGAGTTAACTTAAATCCGGCTGAGGTCGAGGATCTACGGTTTGAGGAGAATTGAGAGTTGGCAGCTTCTTTCAAAGTTTTGAGTGGATTATCCTCGTTGGGATGCAGCTTGAGGGAAAAGAGGGAACGTTGTGGTAAAATAAAAATGTTAAGCATTTAATTACATAACCAGAGGGATGATTGATTATTGAAGAATGATACGGGATGTGAATTAAAAAAATTCAAATAAACATAATTATATGTATATTTACATTATTATTATTATAGTTTAGATTTTATGTTTTGTATTTCCTTCTTTGAAACTGACTGAAAATTAAAAGAATAATTTTATATTTCGTTGATTTTAGCGATACTAAAAAAGTCTTGGATGTGGTCTCAAGGGAAGTCGATTGCTTGGCAAACGCAATTCCCCTGATAAGAAAAGCGATAAAGGTCCCCTCCTAATGTAGTAAATTGAATCTGATTTAACCCGGAAATTATCTGGTTCGATGCGGACATACGGCACTTGTGAATACAAGTAAAAGGTTCCGACGCCCTCAGAACGGGGCCGAAGATGCCTAATCTCCACCTAATCCCCGAGGGTCTGGATCAACCGTTCATTATCCACCCGGGATTGCTTACCTCTCAATCTATTCAGTATTCACTCGGGTTCTTTTCACCCCTCGTAGGTTCTATTAAAAAAAAAAAAAACAACCTGGCGTTCACATGATTTAATAGTTAAGCGAATTTCAAAAGGTGGAGTTTCAGACCAATAAAAGACGGAAGAACAATTATGTTAATACGTTTTAATATCCCTATCTGTATTATCTGTGCTCTGTGATCTGTATTGTTATAATTAAAGAAAATAGTGTATTAGATGCCATAAAAAATTAACCGAGTTTATATACGTAAATAGTTTGCTAGTTATAATAAAATATTAATGCTTTATAAAAAAATTATAAACAAAAAATGACGATAGAATATTACAATTAATTAAGGTTTTTAGTTCATCAAAAAAGTCAATGGCACGAGCGGGATTCGAACCCTCGATCTTCGGCACGATACGCCGCTGCTCTACCATTTGAGTTATCGTGACTTCGATCCACTCGGACACTAACTTCCCATCTCAACCCCACCTTTTGAATTTTCCCTCCTTTTTGTCATTTTTCAAATGTCGTGTAATCGGATTGGATTCTCAGCGACAAAGGAAATGGCCACGGAGAGCTTTAGTGAAATATACTTCAGTTTAATTCATTAAATTCACTAATTTCGTGGTCCGCTTGACCAATTAATATATTACAATTAATTAAGGTTTTTAGTTGAGATAAAAAATCCAATGGTCCGAGTGGATCGAGGTCACGATAGCTCAAGTGGTAGAGCAGCGGCATATCTAGCCGAAGGTCGTTGGTTCGAATCCCGCTCCTGCCATTGACTTTTTTATCTCAACTAAAAACCTTAATTAATTGTAATATATATTAATTGGTCAAGCGGACCACGAAATCAGTGAATTTAATAAAATATAACATACTAAGAATTGAATTCACATAAAATTGATGAAAAACACCTCGAAAATGTAAGAAAAGACACAGAAAATACGCAGAAAATAGAAATAGCAAAATATGAATAGATAGATGAAAGCGTAGATATAGAAATTAGACAATTTGTTTCAAAACAAACTGAAAATAAATTAAAAGGAGAACCAAGTAATCAATAAAATGGAATAAAAATAATGTTGACAAACTTACTCAATATACTAGATATATTTATTATTCGGATTTGTGATTTTTTGTATCGTAGTATTCAAACATGGTAATTAATTAACCTGGATCGTTGGACGTAATAATACGCTCTGTATTTTGATAGATAGCGAGGATGTATTATGTTCAATTAATGTAAACTAATAAGAGGTTATTTACATTGAGCCGGCAACATATTGGATATGCATAAATAAACATAACCATTGACCCTGCCAAGCGAAGAAGTAGCGAAACGATGGTTTCAAACCTGTTTCGCCGTTATTAATTTTTTGTTTTTCCCCTCGTTTGTCACAAGAGACTCTTAAGACTATTAAATGGCTGCATATTAAAAAAAATAATTTTTACAAAAATGTATAAAATGCAGACGGTAATGATGATTTTTGCTCTGCTTAAGAAATTATTAAAGAATGTACTGAAAAAGAGAAATATTTAACTTTTGAGTTACCTATAATTTAAAATTACTCTAATTAAGTTAAGGGTGCAAACGGAGATGATAGTGCTTTGAATCAAGGCTAATCGATTCTCGTTAGGATTGCTATCTTTCCGAGCCGTAACTCAACTGGAGTTGTTATGATCGGCGAGATATGTTTATTTAACCGTTCCTGTCCAATGGATCAAATGATCAATTCTTCAGCATCATCTTTCATACCATGATCGTAAGGCTGCTTCCAGTTCTGTGGCTGATTTCTGCCACAAACGCTTCCAAGAAGGTTTTCTTGTTTATGAAATGTTTGCTTATGTTTTGGATTGATTTATTGCCAATGTTTCAGTAGATTATGGAGACTCGACTCGTGAACTTTTACCAATGCCCGGATAAACCAAATATCCCGGTTGTCTGGAAGGATATGGTTGTCAAGAGGATTAATGCCAAAGAATCTAGGTTATATGGTGAAATTACAGTATCCAAGACCATCAAAGACATGAAGGTATGAACAATGTTATATTTAATTTTTGCATTACTTTTTAAGAGTTTGAGTTTATACATACCTACATACATAATGTAATTAATGATCAGCGAGAAAATTTTAATTATATGTTAAAAAATGATGAAACGAAAATTATAATGTGGCCAAATTAAATTTGACAGATAATATCGTTTTATTATCCTGATATAATTGATATCCGCCTTAATATCATAGTTATATGTCAAAGAGAAGGTGAATTTGACAAAAAAAAAATAGCTTTCGAAAAATATAACCACTTCATCATTATTTGAAACAATTTCCAAATAAATACGAATTCGTATTTCATAGTTTGATTTTTATAAAAGATATAACCTTTCATTTTTACTCTACCTATTTTATTGTAAAACTATGCATGTTTTCAAAGATAATTTTTCACATAAAATCTGGTGGTGATATTTGGCTCGTTAAGGTAAAAAAAAAATTCATCCTAATAAATTATCTTGAGGAAAATTCTACTTCGATGAAGAATTTTTTTCACTCATTTAGAAAGTCCTTTCTATGCTACCAAATATCAGAAATGATCAAATTGATCAATTCGTTCTGAAGATATTAAAAGTTTCCTTCAGAACTCAATAATTTTAATTTTTAATGTAGCAGATTGTTGTTGTTTAAAGTTATATTTAAATCAAACAACAAAAGATTTGTTTAATATTTTATTCAATTGGATTTTAAATTTTCTCCTATTTGTTAACCAGTTACACGATAAATTGAAATACTACTGTGCTAAAAAAGCACTTCAATAACCCCAGAGCTAATCGATGGATTTTTGTGGTCCTATGATCAAGCCTAATTTAGATTACTGACGTCTACATAAAAAAATGCCTTAACCTGTTTACAGACACACAACATTTTCTTTATCTGAACCAATTCTTTGAAATCACCTTTAATTTTTTGTCGATTAATTGAGTTTTTATTTACTTGTATGTACATTTTTGTATTCTACTATTTACATTTTTTAGTTATTACTCGAGATGTACAAGTGTGCTTCGAAATCGGAGACTCATACGTGCGAGTATTACACATCGTTGAAACTCAGTTCGGTCTGCGACAAAATAGAAAAGAAGGCGTCACCCTGGTACCAGTACTGGAATAGAACGGAGTTGCCAAAAACGTGCCCAGTTCACGCGGTAACACGATCAACAAAGTAATTTAATTTGTGTTAACTCATTAATGTTTAATTTTATTCCGATTTCAGGGAACGTACGCTGTGCATGGAGTGAAAGTCGGAATGGATACAGTTTTCCCACTGTTTGAAGCTTACTGGAAATTCAAAAACAAAGGGATGAACGAGAAAGGAAATCTGTTGAATTGTTTCTTTATGGAAATAGACATCCACAAAAGATACAAACTCTAACAATACGCAAAATACGTGTATGAAGATAATCTTATGATTGATTTTTGATTAAAAAATTTACCTAGATTATTTAATAAATCGTTTTTTATTGGGGGGGTAACGATATGTCAACATTACAGATGAAAAATTACGACATTTACATTTACAAAAAATATTGAAACCACTAAGAGGCCTGACTTCAATTTTTTAAGAGGGTATTTCAACTACCAGGAAATATGAACGAAAAAATCCATTTGTAAGCCCCTTACAGTGATGAGCGCCGTGTCAACGCCTTACCGCTGCGGCCACTGACGTTCCTTTAACAAGCTCGTTATATTTTTCTGTGAATCCCCAAAAAACCCTGACATATTTGAAAAAAAAAAATGTTTTATCAAATATTTTGCTTTCCGGATAAGAAAGAATTTTGCAAATAAGAAAGTCTCAGATTTTAAAAATCTCAAAAACGCTAATTTTGAAACGACTCTACCGATGCGAGGAAGTTTTATGGTGGCTTAGAAGCTTTTAAACTACACTGATGGCGTGGCCTTTGTGAAATTAGAATTAGGGATATAAACTAAAACTTTGAACAGGCTTTATTAATTTCATTCTCAATTTTCACTTATAATGACATAACATACGCTTATAATACCGTGGTCGTTGGATGAAATCAAGAGGGCAAATGAATTTTAAAAGAAACATCAGAGAAAAAACATGCTCAGCCCAAAATGAGATTTTTTAAAATAAACTTTAAAGCTTAAAATGTGCCTGCTACGAATCAAAATCGTTAGAACAAAAAGATTTATTTGTACCTCACAAGACCATTTTTTTCTCAAATTTTTCGCCTTCTAAAAGTCTCCATTTTTCCGAAATCCCAACAATGTGAATTTGCTCTTAATAACGCGTTCATACGTTTGTAACAAAATAGATATATATATATATATATATTTTTTTTTTTTTTGGTCGGCGTACGGCAAAGGTCATATCCGGCACGCTAGAAAATTTGAATGCGGGGGTTAGTGTTTCTTCGTTTTGTATGTGTTATTATTTAACCGGCTATACCTTATAAATTATAATGCCTCTTAAACAAAAGTTGGCGGTGTGTCAATCTCAAATATGGCCGAAGATAGGCTTAGCATTAGGGTAACAGGATCTTCAAAAAATAATCAATTCCTTCATCGACTAAGGTGACAGTGGACCCACCCAACTTTGGAGAAGGAGCTCCACATTTTCCTGGAAGCGGGTGCTCCAAATTTTCAACATCATCGGAATCAAGAAGCTACTAGTTCTCTGGAAAGTTTAGTTTGCAAAAAAAAGTTCATTTAGATTTTAATGTAAGGTCCATTTATTCGGTAAGTTCGTTCTTATTTTGTTATAGTGTGACGGAGAGCTTTAGTGAAACATACTTCATTTTAAATCATTAAATTCACTAATTTCGTGGTCCGCTTGACCTATTAATATATTACAATTAATTAAGGTTTTTAGTTGAGATAAAAAAGTCAATGGCACCTCCGTGGCCATTTCATTTCCATCCAATCCGATTACACGGCATTTGAAAAATGGCAAAAAAGGAGGGAAAATTCAAAAGGTGAGGTTTACGTGGGAAGTTAGTGTCCGAGTGGATCGTGGTCACGATAGATCAAGGGGTAGAGCAGCGGCATATCTAGCCGAAGATCGTGGGTTCGAATCCCGCTCGTGCCATTGACTTTTTTTTTCTCAACTAAAAACCTTAATTAATTGTAATATATTAATTGGTCAAGCGGACCACGAAATTAGTGAATTTAATGATTTAAAATGAAGTGTACTTCACTAAAGCTCTCCGTGGCCATTTCATTTGTCGTCGAGAATCCAATCCGATTACACGACATTTGAAAAATGGCAAAAAAGGAGGGAAAATTCAAAAGGTGGGGTTGAGATGGGAAGTTAGTGTCCGAGTGGATCGAGGTCACGATAGCTCAAGTGGTAGAGCAGCGGCGTATCTAGCCGAAGATCGTGGGTTCGAATCCCGCTCGTGGCATTGACTATTTTATCTCAACTAAAAACCTTAATTAATTGTTTTTATATTACTTTTTTAAAATTACGTTTTACGGTTTGCTGTATCCATTTCACATATTAAACAGCGTGGCGCCCATTTCCAATTTAATATCAAACTGTCTAATCCCGCCCGTGTATATGGAGCAAAGCCGGCAAAATTTTTGGTGTAAGATTTTGTCGCCCAACGTGGGGCCTTGATGGTACATTGGTACGATCAAAACTTTCACTAACAAACAAAAGAAAACTTTACATTGCCCTCCCCATTTGGACATACGGACTTGAATTTTACGGGAATGCCAAGCGTTCCAACCTCAATCGAATCCAATCCCTTCAATCTAAAATCCTCAGAACAATAGTCAACGCCCCTTTCTATGTATTCAAGCACACCATCCATACCGACCTAAATGTCCCTCTTGTTACCGAGCTAGCCCAATGCCGCTACAAAACATTCCATTCCAAATTACGCCATGATCAGAACCTTTTCGTCAAAAACCTGTCATCGAGCTCATTACCTAATAAACCAAACAGAAGACTGAAGCGTCGATGGCCCCGCGACAACCTTAACAGTTGACATCGGTCTCCTAGGATGGAGTACATCTCGCTCATTGTATTGATTTACGAACGGCAACCATCACTGGATGGTAGCTGTTCAAGCTTTCATGCTACCGTTAATATGTTTATATGTAAATATTATCAATTTTACTTGTATCGTCGAAGAATGCAGTTGTAAAAAACAAATAAAAAGTTTTAACAAAATATGAGCGGTGCGAAGCCTTTAAGGATTGTCGAGAACATTATGGATTGTTCGAAGAGAGGCTTCTTTATCATGTCTCATAGGTCATAGGTAAATCATTTTTGTAATCTCTACATTCTCCTAGTAATGGGTGACAACTCAAGCTATATGCGGTCTTGCATTATCACGCATTAACACCAATTTGCCCCCAATAAATGGCGCGAATGGGACCACAGCTTCCAGAAGAATTTCAAGTCGAAGATCTGTCTAGGATATTCAGTTCGGTACGGGCATAGACATTGTTCCAGTCATGCCATATTTGAAAGTCTTTGAAAAGGCTGGCGCATAGAGCTAAGCGTTCTCCACGTTTGCTCCGCACACGGTTCCGGTCACCTGATTGTCACAAAACAAACCGATATTCATCTGTGAAGAGAAAAGCTCCTCTTGTTCAAGTGCCCGAGCGAGTTGTTCATTTGAGAATAGTTGCCTTTCTACTCAATTCCTATCCAGTTGAAGAGAGCCTTATGCGGGACGTGTAGACAATACTCCATTCTTACGAAGCCTTCTGATGTCTGTTTTAAATAAAGCTCACCCTTACCGTTTGGAGTTGACCGCTATCAAGGAAGCCGTTAAATGACAGACCGTTCCGAAGTGCGTTAAGAGCAACAAAACGATCTCTGTAATCGTCGAACATCACGATCGACCACTACCTTCTCTTCGATCGAGAATTCCGGTAGCCCTAAACCGCGATAGACCATCGTGGATTGGGCTATGTAACGGACGCTACGACCGTCGTTTGCCATGTCATCGATCCGGACGAGATCTTCTCGACTTAAAACTATGCTTTTGAGAAAAACTAAAAATTAATTTTTTACTCAAATTTATTGTTTCATCAAAAATAACAATTTAAAAAACCAATTCACTTAATCGACAAGTTACCTCTGGAAATGATGAAATTGAACGGATTTTCTTTATTTTTAATCCAACGAGTGTAAAAGGGTTAGTAACGCTCTATAAAAATAAAGAAGTTATTAATGCTGTGTTTACGATTTAAGTCAATTATTAATCATTATACCTATTTATTACAGAAAATAAACAAATAAGTACAAGTGTCCGCTTTTTGTCTTTGAGTCACCTTAAAAGCCATGCTCAATAAACGCTTGTACCGTATTAAAAAAAATTAAGAAATTAACCAAAATAATTTTTTCTCGGCTCATAGAACCCATCAGCAAAAACGCTCGGACCCTTGTAATATTTTTTGTCCTAGTGGTAACAAAAAATTCACTATTTTCGTGGTCCGCTTGACCAATTAATACTTTACAATTAATTAAGGTTTTTAGTTGAGATGAAAAAATGTTAATGGCACGAGAGGGATTCGAACCCACGTCCTTCGGCTAGATACGCTGCTGCTCTACCACCTGAGCTATCGTGACCTCGATCCACTCTATGTACCAAGTTTTCGTGGTCAGCTTGACCAATTAATACTTTACAATTAATTAAGGTTTTTCATCTCAACTAAAAACCTTAATTAATTGTAAAGTAACAAGAAAGAAGTTTCTTAAAAACTCCACGTCCGTTGCTTTTGTTCGTGTTCCTAGATTATCATACAAAAACAAAGTTATTAGAAGATTTTAGCTATCCAAACGTGGTGTCTAGCAGTTATAGTACTATTAGTGGATGCAATATCTAGCCAATATCATTAAGCAATGATAATCTAATTAATACAATAATAAATTAAACCCTCGGGAGACGGCTATAGCATCCATGTTATCCAAGTAGTGGAATATCTCAGTCTGCAGAAGTTACATTCAGTATCAATCCATTAAAGTCGACGTTTTTTCTTTTACTGAACAGGAATACATCGCTAATTTCAAAGTCTTTCAGAATGTAATGTCTAAAAACTTATATATTACACGATTAGTTTTATGGAATTTTGTCCAAATTATTCCATGGCGGTAAGCTTACGGTTGATTCATTTTTTAAAATATTCTTTGTATCTAATGAATAAACAGTACAAAAACGCTATGTACTTTTTTTTGAGAAGAAATCTGACGAAATGCATGAATCGTTAAACCAAGAATTTATAGAATTTAACCAAAAAAATTATTTGATTGATGAAAATACAATTTGGCAATATTATTTTTTCATCAAGAAAGGAGGTAATTAAGAAAACTGACCGTAATCAGGCTAAGTGGTGCACCTTATGTAATAGAGCAACAATACAAATAGAAGGGAGAGCAATGGTGGAGATCCCGAAGCATCCGTAT